AAATAGAATTTTAGAGCTATTCTCGGTTGGCCAGTAGACATACCTCTGAGAAAATGAAAGACTGAAACTTTTTGCCACTGATGTGTGAGATCGACTAGTATAAGCGCTGTTGCGTGATAATTCGTGTATTTTGGGACTGTCACGCAACTGTCCGCGTGACGTTAGGGCCGCCATATCAGACAAAATTGTCTGATATCACATGAAAAATATATGCGCTTTCAAACGCGAAGGACGAAAAAGAATACAATCCAGGAACAGATGAAGCAAAACTTGCAATCCATCTATGAAAAATTTTAAACGTCTAAACGCTACAAGTAAGAGACAAATTGTCTATAAAATGAAAACATTTCATTAATCCTTTTATAAACGGAATTTAGTCACAGGTTTGACCAAAATTGCTTTTTTTATTATAAAGACTAAGTGTATCTCAAAATTTAGTCTAAACCAGCCAGGTGGCCTTGTTAGTCATTGTAAAGGGATAATTTTCAATCGAGTGGCGTTTTTGAAAACACTCGAAGATACGTCATGCGGAGTTAATAGAATGTTGATGGCGAAGGTTGTTTAATTTATATCAAACGAACTTTTTTCAAGTTTCTTGAGAGAGAATTTCAAAGGTTTTCTTACACTGCGATCAGGTTTAACAACAACATAACTTACTCTGGCATGGAGACAAGGCCTGTGTGCCCTTCGATCACAAGTCAGGTACCTTATCCTTAGTTCCTGAACAGATTTTGAATCTTGTTCCGGTCAATTGATTGTGATTAATAAAAAAATAAGAGCGGAAAGTGAACCGTGGAGGGAAACTTAAATTAAATAGGAAGAAAAAACAAGGCCAAAAAACTCAGAAAACGATGCGTCTTGTTGATCAATATTCCTGTTTTTAATACGTCTATGTTGCTGTATTCTACTGGAATTCATAAATAGAACAACAATGTTATTATCAAAGAGCAATTCTTTCTTTTGAAATATTTTCCACACGCTGACTGATTGGATTCTACAAAAGAGAAAAGAAAAACTTTTACCATGGCCGAGCAGGTCCGGTTGTGAAAAGTATCCATCCTTTCCACACGTTTAGGCATAGCGTGACAAATCAGACTAAAAATCAGACCACACCTCCACTCGGGGAATGATACAATACGTACTTTCGCCTGTTTACAAACATGCTTAGTCTGTAAAATCCCCGGTTCTGTGAATAAAATTAAAAAAAAAAGAGATTTCTTATCCCTTACCTAAAGAAATTATTTCAGCCTAAAGTCGATGGAGAAATATAGATATTTAATGGATTATTTATGGAAATGTGCTCAGTTAAAGATAGCTGAAATGGAGAACGTCACGACTTACTTATAACTTGCGCTATCTCAGATGCTAGCGAAATGCAAAAAAGTTTAA